TGGAGTTTTTGCTGCGCTTTGCACAAACAGGAGTGTTTGTGATTATCACTCTGCCCGACATAGATGACAGCCAAAAGATATAAAAAACCCTTAACTCTTTGTTGTAACCTAGTGGTTAATAGGTCCAACAGTTGACCAGTTGACCCATAGTTTCAAGGAATTAAAAAAAAATCAGTCGGTCAACAGAATAATAGGAAAATGAAAAGAAAATGCAACATACAGTATTTAAGGTTGCCATAATTTCCTGTTGGATCTGCAATGGAAGGGGAGCATACAGAGCAGCTGCGTGGATGTGGTCTTAGCTTAACAGACACACATATTTTTTCTTTTATTTCATTAATTCATGTTGTTTACTATTTATTCCTCTTAAGCTCCAAGTTGCTATCTTACTTATGTCATGGTCATCATCAGATGGGCTTCGAGATACTGGCTTCCATTGCAGATCATGGCTTTGGTCAACTGAGTTTTCACATAATGCATCTTGTAAAATTGAGAAAGTATAGATAAGTTACTGCCCTTAGCTGCATCCATCTCACAAGTAGCATTCTCTGATAATGGTAATCCAACTAATTTTTGTATTAGTTTTGGCACAAATTATGATCACTAAGCTAGAGAATACCTTGCAAGCCAACACCACCAGCTAGGAAGTACATGAAATGTACTCTCACATATACTCAGGATGCACTACATTTTCCAAATAATAGCAGTGGTAAATGAATAATGTACATATGCTGTCTAATAGTAATTTGCTATGTATTTTTGTCTCCCATTAAATGTGAACGTAGGTTTATCTGTTGTATTTGATGGGAAAAGAGAAGATTATTTCTCTGAACTAATTAAATGGGCCAGAGAAAATGGTGCATCCACAGATGGTTTTGAGGTGGCTAACTTTGGAGAAGAGGGTTTTGGATTAAAAGCCACACGAGAGATAAAAGTGAGTATAAGGTTGCTTTTTTTAAAACTTATTTTTACCTACTTAATTATAAGTACTTAATGCTGCTTCAGTCAAAATAAATCTAAGTGGCTTACAAAAGTAATACACCATAGGTAACCACACAGAAAAATGTGTGGTTCCATTCCTACTCATAATTTTGGAAGGAAATAACACCATGAAAATGGCACTTCCAAAAATGGGGTATTTTAAAGTTGAATTTCAGTGGTGCAATCTTGGAATGCTGCAGGATCATGAGCGAAGTGCTGATAGTTGCCTGTTGGATACAGTTGCAAGAAAAAGTATGTGAACCTTTTGGAATTTCATA